GTTCATAAGAGTTTTTGTTGTGCTAGCTTCTTACAACTCATCGACAAGCACTTCCCACATTCAATTCGACTCCATAAAATCTTTAACCGAAACACTGTGAAAGTGAGTTATTCCTGCATGACCAACATTAAGAACACTATATCCAACCACAATCGACATCTACTGGTAAGGATAGGACGTTGAACAAACGAACAGAACTATTTTCAAAGTGCCGCCACAGAAACTCATTTAGCGCGCGGAATTTTAAACACACGCGCGCATGATGCAATCGCGTCAGCGGACCGTTGAATGAATGGCGCAAGCAAACTATTTAGAGTAGTATCGCCTGAAGATCGCTTTGAAAGCGTGAAACACTGTGTAGCGATTAATAAAATTTTAAGATTTTAATTAGTATATATATATATATATATATATATATATATATATATATATATATATATATATATATATATATATATATATATATATATATATATATATGTAGGTGTTTTGAACTTCTTACGAGTATGAACCGGGCAAGCAGAAAATCAATTCTACTTGACCATGGCTGGGAATCGAACCCGCGACCTTCGCATTTCTAGAACGACGCTCTACCTTCTGAGCTACAAGGCCAAGTTGGGAACGATATGTAATTTATTTGTGATGTTAATGACATGAACGAATTTCTTCCTTTCCATGCCTGGTGCCAGCTATTAATCCAGCGAAAGTTGTATATATGTATATATATATATATATATATATATATATATATATATATATATATATATATATATATATATATATATATATATTATATATTATATATATATATATATATATATATATATATATATATATATATATATATATATATATATATATATATATATATATATATATATATATATATATATATATATATATATATATATATATATATATGTTAGTTGTGTAATTGTACACACTCTGTAATATGTTAAGATGAAAATGTTCTAGAGTGTGTATTATATAATTTCCATACCCAGCGCAAGCAGAAAGATGTTGTCTGCCGCGGCTGGGTCTCGAACCCGCGACCTTCGAAAACGCAATCCTTGCAGCTAACTATAGCGACCTACTTCACAGGGTTGGAAGTATTATAAAGAAATTCTGCCCAGGTAATACCATTTTGTAACATTTTCAATAATACTCTAAAAAGTAAAATGTTGTTCTCGTACAAGGTAAACCCAATTTGATTATTGCGAGTCGACCGTAGCCTTCATAGTGTCTCCACTTATATTTGTTTTAGTGACTGGCATATGTGGAACACCTGACGACGACTGCAGTGTATTTGCTACATGTGCTGACACAAGACCAGGAACCTATAACTGCACCTGTAACAAAGGATATACTGGAAATGGGAAAATATGCAAAGGTCTATACAATTATCTAACAGAAGGTTCTGTTAGAAAGATGTGTAATAATGTTCGAGTTGCTTTCATAACATCAGTATTTATATGGATTGAACCACATAAAATCAAAGTAATATATTTCTGAGAATGAGGATAAAAAACCGAACCCTAACCATGCTCAAGGGAGTCAAGGCAGCTAATATATGTACAGACCGCAGCACCCAAATTATATTGTTCCAGGTATTACAACATTTGTACATTCAATTGACGACTTGTTAATTTTTTGCTCTAGGTGTAACCGTCAATTTTACAAAGAAAGCTTACAGTGGCAAAGAGGGTGAGCCAGCTTTACCCGAAATTATTGTTAGTGCAGGGAATATAAGTGAACCGATAACTATAAGGTAAGGAAATTCTACAAAGATACAACATTCTTCCAAATTATACCGTTTCCGTAAGATACACTTATTGATTGGTTTAACAGATAATCCAACCTGCTATTTTACCAGCTTCGAACGTATTTTCCGGGCCCTGACACGACGAGAAAAAAATGTGAGAAACAGGTATAAAATACAAGACAGACTTGTACGTGAAACCGTTTGAATCGGATTTTTATATACATCAATATTTTGAAAAATAAAACAAGTATTTCGGAACCCGCATTAATTAAGTAAAAAATAAAAGTGGATGAGGGGTTACGGAACCCCTCCCACCCTGGATGTGAATATATCCCATGAATATGTGAATATGTCTCTCATCGTTTCTAAACTGCATTCTCTACATATTCCCTGCATACGGTCTTTTTCTTTCCTTATTAACTTACTCATAATTTTATTTAGAGACTGTACTTTCCAACGATCTTGGAAAATGCCCATTGTTAGGAAAACAAATTACCATAAAAAGTACCTGTCATAATACAAGTTTACTTTCTTTAACAGTGTTACTCCAAGTGCAAAGACAGCTGGAGATGATGATTTTGTTCCTCAAACCGTGGATGTCACTTTTGAACCGGGCGAGACTGGTCCAAAGTTGATCCCCATTAACATCATAGATGATGATGTTGTTGAATCCAAAGAAGAATTTACAGTCACCATGTCATCTTCCTCACCTGGGGTAACAGTTGGTGAACCTGCAACTGTGATCATTAAAGATAATGATAAGTCAGGTAGGCTTTACACAACATGAAATGCTCTCCAAACATATAGCTTCTATACTTATCTCTCGCAAAACTTAAAGTCGATATTTTCTTCTCCGTCCATCACGAGCTTCCTTTAATGGCACAGGACTGTTACTGTCGTTCCAAGAACTTGATCAAATGAATTGGTCAGCCTAGCTGAGGTAATGTATTGAATCAATATTTGAGGAACACTTCAATTGGAACGACAGTAAGTTTCGAATGCCACAGGAAATAGTTGTTGTTGCTCTCATTATATCACAAAGAGATTCTGCCCAGGTAACCACTGACAAAACTATTATTACCATTTTGAAACATTTTCAATAATACTCTGAAAAGTAAAATGTTGTTCTCGTACAATGTAAACGCAATTTGATCATTTGCTAACTCGGAATTTAATTAAACCATGGTGGCTACATCCACGGACAGTTACTAGGTTACAAACATAATGCAACTGAAAGTTATGTTAAGTGCTTCTTCATTCATATTGCTTTCATTAGAAATCAGAATATGTGGAACTCCACAAGAAGACTGCATTGAATTTGCGACATTATTGTATGATTTACTTGATTTTAGTTGTAAAGACTACTTTGGTTGGAAAAAATTAGCTCTTTCCCCAAAGATTTTGTTTTTCTAATTAGTTTCTCTTTTGCCTTCCCAAGTAATCAAAATATGTGGAACTCCACAAGAAGACTGCAGTGTATTTGCTACATGTGCTGACACGGCACCAGGAGCGTTTACCTGTACCTGTAACGAAGGATATACTGGACGGATGGGAAAACTTGTCAAGGCACGATTTTGGGATCTAATTTTAAAACAAAGCGTTTGCTGTACCTCATCGCCAGATCAAAATTCATTTTTGGTGTAAAGTTTCTTCGAAACTTTATTGTGATGAGTGCATGGGGAAAATTCAAACGAGTCAGTCAGTCATTCATTCAGTCGTAGAGTAAACTTTCCGGGGGGTGTATACGATTTATGTTCGTAGTGATTTATTGTACTTAGTCAGTGTTTTAAAGGTTATTTAGGCAATTTCAGTTGTCTTTTTTGAATATTCTTTTGTCTCTTTGCCAAGTTCATAAAAATTTCGAGGAATTGTTGTCGTTATTGTAAATTTTTGTAAACTTTATAATAATCGCTTCTCATGTTGTGTAAAGGATCTTTTCGCCGGAACACCCGATTTTTTCTTTAGCAGCGCAAATGCGCATTGGCTATTAATAGGCCGTAGATGACGATGCTTGGAAGGATCTCAGATGTGAATATTGAGTAAATCTTTGAGAATCTACGCAATATATAAATTGATGTTATGCATTACGGGCATTCAATCAAGTACCGATATTATTTAGACGGTATATTCATTATACAGAGCTAGGAAAGAGCGAGACAGTGCATCTGTTCAAATGTGTAAACATTTCAGACCTAGTGAGATGTATAAAACATTGAGAAAATCTTTGAGATTCTAGCCTCTAGCCTCTAGGCATTCAATTAAGTGCCGATATTATTTTGACGGTATACTCATTATACAGAGCTGGGAAGGAGCGAGACATTTCAAATCTATAAACATTTCAGACATAAATATTGAGAAAATCCTTGAGATTCTACGCAATATATAAATTGATGTTTATATGCATTATATATTATGTGCCGCAGTGCCGATATTATTTATACCGTATATTCATTATAATCGACTCTATAATAAACCACAGAATAGATGGCTACACTCAGTACAAAGAGCGAAAAATTTCATCAGATCAGTAGAGCGTAAACGACTATTTAATTAAGGAAAGCCTAGGGAAGCCTCACATATCGATTTTGTCCACGAGAAACGTCATATGTTCGTTTCTCTAGAGACCCCCATCCCCCCCTTAAAAACGTCAACAGATAGTTATCGATATTTTGTTCTTTAATATAGTACACATAAGGTAATTTTCTTCTATTGAATTTGACTGGTCGTCGAGACAGTTGAATTTAAATTACTTTAAGGAGTCTTATCCCAGGCGCACAAGATCCGATGGTAGTCGTTCGACTATGGTTTAAGCCAGTTTTCCACTTTAAAATATTGACAGTTTTTATAGCGCATTTTTCTTGAAATTTGAGTGTTTTCAATGCAAGGAAGGCGTAATATTATAAATGTATAGAACAGGTATGGTATTACGAATGTATAGACTGGTGTTTGTATCAAGTTGTTTTCTTTTTTATATTCTGCAAAGATGATTCCGAAATGTTAAGGCTTTCGAAAAAACTATCGAATTTTCCCACAATGTTTTGCAGAGAAACGTCACAGCTGAAAACGGACCCCCACCCCCAAACGAACATATGACGTTTCTCGTGGACAAAATCGATATGTGAGGCTTCCCTAAACAAGCGGGCGTTGTATCATTGTATGGCGTTTATATGGCATTTACGAAGAAAATAACTTGCGAGACTAAAGAAAATCTCTTGACTCGTCAGCTCTTTATTTAAAGTTTAAACGAGGAGATAGCCAACGTGTTATCGCCAATCGCTTGATTTGCCAGCAAGCTTTATGCAACAGAAGAAAAAGGCAAAGAGGTGGCCAACGTGTACAACGCCAATGGCGCGAACTCGTGTGTTCAGTACAAAGAGAACTCTACTAGATCTTACAAGAATCTATCTGTATCAAAGCTTGTCAAAACTGTGAAACTATTAAAATCTACAGTGACATTATTGAATACATGCGAATTAGGAAAAGCTGAAAGTACTCATGAAACACAACGTGACCTTGAGAATAAGTCAAAGGTCAATGAGGCTTGTTATTGTGAAACATGTCACAATTATGTTAAAATGCGGAAGCGGATGCGAAATGGAGCGGATCCACGGAACGGATAAGGGAATAAAATGCGGAACGGAGCGAATGGGGATAAAATGCGAGTTTTTTCGCCTATTTTTTACGTTTCTGTGTTTTCGATTTATATTTTTTGTAATGGAATGTAACGTCGTAATGCTTGTCATATAACATAACATATCTTATACAGCTATTTCAAATAAAGTTGTCACTGAGACAATAGTCAAATGTGCAATATGGGCGCTAAAAGGATGATGGGAATAGTTTTAAATAAGTTTATGCAAATGAAGTTTAGAAGATTAAAAATTTGGTTGATGATAAAGTTCTAGGTTGTCGGCGACCCTATATATAGTTCTTGCAGTGTCTTTGTCAATTTGAAACTTTACACTATCCTTGGATCCCTAGTTGTCTAATTATACATAGTGATGTATTGTACGTATCAATGTATACTGTTTTTATGTTGTTGTTTAGTAGTGTACGGTGATCTTATGTATAGTATTTGTGGTGTGGTTTGTTTTGTGTAGTGAAAGGTTGGGGAGGGGAGGATGCTAATCGTCCTTGCTTGTAGAAAACACATCAAACATGAGCGATGTGGGAGGCTCAATCTTTGACAAAACAGAGTGGGAAACCTGGGGTCCTTCCTAGCTCATTCTTTGGTGCCACGTATAGGTTATAACATATTTTTACGATTTTAGAAAATCAACCTAGTAAACCAACGGTAAAGTCGACAAGTAAAAAGATGACAAGAACATTTACAGTTTCCACTACACCTGCAATTTTACCATCTCAAAGTAGCCTTGAAGGCAAGTGATGTTTTTGTCTAATTATACATAGTGATGTATTGTACATATTAGTGTAGGTGAAGGGGTGGGGGAAGTGTGCTAATCATCCTTGCTTGTAGGAAGCATGACCGATGTGGGAGGCTGTGGTTGTCCAAGGTGGCCAGGTTAAGATAAAAGGGTTGACGTTTTGAAACCAGAGCACCCGGAGAAAATCCTCGAAGCACAACAGAGAACTAACCACAATTCTACTTCAATTAGTTTTCAAATACATAAGGCCAGGGTCAAACGTCGAACTTTTCATGCGCCGAACCTAATGTTAATGAGCTAAGTTCTTTGTTTCACTTCATTTGCATTAGGTTCGGCGCATGAAAAGTTCGACGTTTGACCCTGGCCTTAATTAAGTGAGATCAGGATCGCCCATCAAGCAACAATACCTGGTCCTCATCCTTCAGTAGCAGGCTTAAGTAACTTACTTTTTTATACTCTTTATTCACATAGTCAATTTGGATTCAATTTGCCTTATGCAAATAAGTATTAAATCTTATTTTATTCAGACAAGGGAACAACGGATGATTCTAGCAAAATCATTATCATAGTGACAACAGTAGGTGCTGGCGTATTTCTTAGCATTGTGCTTATCGTCTTATTGATGAAATACAAACGACGGCAGCGGGCTCCAAAATTATCCACTCCTGTCAATATTCCATTGGCGACGAATGAAACTTCACCAGAACCATTGCCAGTTGATGAGGTAAATTATTTATGATCATGGTGTTGGGAACACAGTGAATGGTTATTACGTATGGGCCTCTAGGAAGAACAGTTTCGAACTGAAAGCACTATCCGATTAATATTAAAAAAGTTAGTTTAGTTTAGATTTCTTTCTGTGATAACATACTGGATCAATAAAAGATGGTTAAGGCGGTTTTCCACTAGGCGAAATTTTTCGATCGAACCGAAATTTCTATTGTTCAAATTCAAAAGATTTCTGATTAGTTCCATCTGAGTGCTTTTAAGACAAAAGAAAATTTCGATTCGGTCGAAAAATTTCGCCTAGTGGAAAACCGCCTTTAATGGACCTCTATAGGAAGAACAACTTCGAACTGATAGAGTTATCCAATATAAATATAGTATTAGTTTAGGTTTCCTCCTGTAGTAACACTGAATGAATAACAACAGATGGTCCTCACTGAACCTCTAGAGAAAACAGTTTGAACTGATAGTATAAGTCAAGTTACTTTAGTTTGTACTCGAACTTTTCTCTCCAGGTCCTTCAGTTTTTCTCTTTCATAAAAACCAACTCTTAGAAATTATTTGTCAAGCACGTGTATCGCGAGCCTCTGACTCGGGCGAATTGGGCAACCACGCCCTGTGTGTAATCACAGAATAAAGACATACAGAAGTGTAACTTCCATTACAAAACCGTAAGGCGCTTTTTACCGAAATAGCTGGCGGCCATGTTCTTAGCAAGTGCCCTAAAGAGAGGCATTCACCCCCCTGGAATATTAAATTTTCAATATATTTTCAGGGGGGTCACTGCCTCTCTTTAGGGCACTTGCTAAGAACATGGCGGACTGAAAAAATCCCTTACGCACTTTTAATAAGAAGATACACTTCTGTATGTCTTTATTCTGTGGTGTAATCGTCATTAAATTAATCATAATCATTCTTACAAAAAAGCAGGAGGAAGTTTACGAAACTGTCGTGAACGTTGATCAAGGGTTTTACGAAGACGTCGACACAAATGCAAACGCGTCTGAAGAAGTATCATCTGAAGGTCAGTAATATCACAGATTAGATATTAATATCTAAATATATATATTAGGTACTATTTACAACATGAGCGGCCGTGTAGTATCGGATATATAAACTCAAGCCGAAGGAGAGAGAGTTTGTATATCAGATACAACACGGACGCGAATGCTTTATATAGCTTGTGAAGCGTCTCGATGAGAACATTCGTATTCTTCAACAATTTAAAATAAATTAATGATATAAATTTAGTGAGAAAATTGATCTTAAAGTTATATAAATCCGCATGATTTTGTAACAGATATGCAAACTAATTCACACGCTCATGATTTCTTTTGTGTTTTCTTCATGAATTATTACTGCGTTTCGCAAATATTAATATGTAACCTGTGGTAATTTGTTTAAAATTCTACTAACCTTGGTATGTCTAATATTTGCTCATTCTAAGAAGAAATGTAATAATATATCTTGGTAAAGAATGAAATGTAATAATATATCTTGGTTGAAAAGAAACGCGTCTTGATAATTGTGTTCACTGTAGAACGATGATGAGAGTTGGTAAGAGATAATGAAGATTGAAACTCTCGCTCGTGTCAACTTTGAGCTGGTTCAAGTTTTGAGTAGAGTTCATGAGAGTTTTTGCTGTGCTTGGTAATATCCAGTTAACTCTTATCAGTGTTGAGCTGGTTCAAATTTTGAGTAGAGTTTATGAGAGTTTTTGTTGCACTTGGTAATATCCAGTTAACTCTCGTCAGTGTTCAGCTGGTTCAAATTTTGAGTAGAGTTCATGAGAGTTTTTCTTGTGCTTGGTAATATCCAGTTAACTCTCATCAGTGTTCAACTGGTTCAAATTTTGAGTAGAGTTCATGAGAGTTTTTGTTGCGCTTGGTAATATCCAGTTAACTCTCATCAGTGTTCAGCTGGTTCAAATTTTGAGTAGAGTTCATGAGAGTTTTTGTTGTGCTTGGTAATATCCAGTTAACTCTCATCAGTGTTCAGCTGGTTCAAATTTTGAATAGAGTTCATGAGAGTTTTTGTTGCGCTTGGTAATATCCAGTTAACTCTCATTAGTGTTGAGCTGGTTCAAATTTTGAGTAGAGTTGATGAGAGTTTTTGTTACGCTTGGTAATATCCAGTTAACTCTCATCAGTGTTGAGCTGGTTTAAATTTTGAATAGAGCTCATGAGAGTTTTCGTTGTGCTTGGTAATATCCAGTTAACTCTCATCAGTGTTCAGCTGGTTGAAATTTTGAGTAGAGTTCATGAGAGTTTTTGTTGTGCTTGGTAATATCCAATTAACTCTCATTAGTGTTGAGCTGGTTGTTGAAATTTTGAGTAGAGTTCATGAGAGTTTTTGTTGTGCTTGGTAATATCCAATTAACTCTCATTAGTGTTGAGCTGGTTCAAATTTTGAGTAGTAGTTCATGAGAGTTTTTGTTGTGCTTTGTAATATCCAGTTTACTGTTCTTATCAACTCTCATTCTTGTTTGACCAGGGTTTATAATCTTTTGTTTCTAAAGGCAGGACATCAGATCACGAAGAGGTTGAAGTACCATCAAATGCACAAAAGGTTTCTGGACACACTGAACTTAATAAACGACCCGATACCTTGAAAAGCGGGGCGACAGGCGATGGTGATCATCAGGCACATTTAAAGGAGGATAACGAGTACGTAGTACCGGTTTCAGAGGAACCACAACACGAAACATCAGGTCAAAATGAAACCTGTGAAGAGCCCAAATTATCGCCAGAAAATCCTGTTTATACGGAGCTTGATGTGAACGGCAAGAATACAACGGAAGATGGTACCTATCAGGAACAAGTAAAGCAAGACTCAGATTATGTTACACCAGCTCACGAGAGAAGAGAGTCGTACGAAAACATGAAAATGGGAGGAAACGTACTCTGGTACGTTTGGTAATGGGAGGAAACGTACTCTCGAGGAGCTGGATCAAAGCAAACTCGAATCAGAAATGGAATAAAATAAGTTTTAAGAAAAAGAATGTAGGACATAGTGATAATTTACTGCCAATATGATTTTATTTAGTTGAATCTAAATGAAGAAAGTACTTTTTTGTTGTTGAATACTTCGATAGATGTTTTGTGTTGGAATATTTTTCCACACAGATCCCAAGTGTTGAATAGTTATAAATAAATTTGTGCAGCTCTAAAAATATTACTGTGTAGTAGCGAGTTTACTAAATTTTAGTAGAAATTTAAAATTTTAATAAATTTGTAATGCTTAAATACATGAACTTCCCCTTGATTTGTCATTTCAGTTTATTTATATGCCACCGTTGCTATGACGACATGGGAGTTTATAAAGCGCCTGCTTCTGCACAGCGGTATATCCCATTTTGCATAAAAAATGGCGGCCTTGATAACGGAAGCATGACGTTGCACGCAACTATTATCTGATTGGCTGATGTCATTTAAATGTCTCGCGTGGAGCGTGGGCGTCGCGACAATACGCCACTGATCAGTATTGATACAACTTGAAAGAATTCTCTATCACGTAATTTGTACGACATTTAATACATCAGCACGAACCACTGGGGTGTTTTTTTTTCCCGGAGTTGTTGATGCTCTAAACTTCTAACGCATTTTAATTCATTTAATATTTGTCCGGCACCAGTTCAAGCGACTGTGAGGATTTTAAAACACTTTATCCCACGTTGCAAACACCACGAATACAAAATCAAACAGCAACTGAGCCAGCAACCTTGGGCAACTTGCTTTAAAAACTAACAACTTTTAGAAAAAAAGAGACTTTTTCGAGCAACTTTGTATGATTTTTTGAGCCAGTTTTTTCGAAATCTTGAGCAACCTGTGGACAGGCCTAGTGCGGTGTTTGTGATTTTTACCGTTTCTAGTTGTCGTTGGGAAAGGATAAACATTGTCCGAAAAGAAATTTTTTAACCCTGGCCTGTTTTCCCCTTAAATTTGCCGTTGAATAAGTCTCATTATCTAGTATTTAAAAACGTTCTAAAACTCGTTAGACGAGATATGGGAAGCTATAATACTATATCTTTCAAAAGTTATATAGATGGGAAAATACATTTAATTGCTTGCTAATGTAGCTAATTTAAAAACTTCGAGATCCGATTTGCACAGATTTTGACAGACTTCAAAATCTCATCTCGTAAATATCAAAAGATACTCTATCCAGTTCTATGGTTTTCTAGATCAGTGGTACTTGTATTTGAGTTTGAGAAAAAGAAGATAAAAGCAGTCCTGTTTTAAAGGGCAAGCTTTTCCACTTTCCAAATTTTTACTTGGGCCTAAGTGAATGAAAAAAGCTGTAAATATCTTTCAGATTGAATATATAAAAATAGATTTAGCATTCGCTTTGTTTATTTTTGTACAGTATAATACATTCAGGCTACCACTTGTCTTAACACAGCCACAGGCCTTTGTATAAATCACAAGTATGTCAAAATAGTAAACGACCAGATGGTATGGAGAACAGTGCCAGTGGGATTTTCAATGCAATGAAAAGACAATGGGAATTTGCCTTGATCTTGCTTGATCAAGATACTATACAGTACAGTATAGTGACTCGATGATTTACATATTGTATTGACATGTAAATGTTGACATTGTATTGACATGTAAACATTTACATGTCAATATTTTGACAATATTTGAGTAAGTCGTGTTTTGGAAATGAAAAACCATTACCCAACGCTTGAGCTGTTTTGTTTTTTATTTACTCAACCTTTACTCACTCAAAATTTTGTTTACCCAACCCTTTTCTTTGTTGTTAAAGACCATGTCAAGTCCGTCCATTGATTCTGCGCATCAGTTCTGCTCTTCTGCTCATATAAACAAAGGGGGACCTGCAGATATAAACATTGCCCAAATTTTGCATCTTTCGAACTTTTTTGAATTGAAACGTACTCTAGTTTATATTAATTTACAATTGCGAACCAGAAAAGTGTTAGATATTCAGTTAGTATGTCTTATTTTACAAATATACCAGTTCAAAAATGTAAACAAAGGATTTGTTTACATTACGGACTTGACATTGTACGCAATGACACAAAATGAATAGTTATAAATAAATTTGTACAGCTCTGAAAATATTAATGTGCAGTAGTGACAAAATAGAGAGCGTTTGGTAGGAATTTAAAAAAAAATCTTTAAAAAATAACTCATTGATTAGAAAATAAATTTGTAATGCAAAATACACAACTTTAAATTCAATACCCCCCCCCCCCTCCTGTCCCCTCTGCTCCCCTCCCTCTAGCCAGTTGTTGCTATGACAACATTGGAGTAAAAAAGCGCCTGCTTCTGCACAGCGGTATATCATTTTGCTTAAAAAATGGCGGCCTTGAAAACGTCAAAATAAAAATTTTCATGCATTCTTTTTGGATTCCAAGCCAGCAGAACGCGAGAGAGATGGCTTGTTTAAAAGCGGAAGCTAAAGAAAAGTACCTGCAGTATGTTCTCGACGAATATTGGCGATTTTTACCGTGGAAATACCTGGTAATTCTTGTCAAATCAATTCTTGACAACAAAATTGTTGAAAGAAAGCTGGAAGGGTAAAGTGTTTTGTATGAAGGCCCTGCTGGTTAGGTCTAAAAATGTATAGAAATTTATGTTTAAAAATTCCATTTGCTGATCTACAAAAGCCCATTTACTATTAATAGTTCTATCGAACAGAATGCCCAAAAAGGCAAAATATGATCGTTTATATTCACCCATAAACTTTTATATACTCACTTTCAACTGAAAATTGTACGTAAATTTAACAACCTAAATACAAGGAGCATAATATGGACTGAAAAAGTTTGCTGACAAAAAACAATGCAATTTTGATCGTCTTTGAAAAATCCACCCGTGCATGTTGTTTTCCCGATTGCACGAGAAACAATACTATTATACCTTGCTATCAGAATCGAGTAATTTTTCATGTAATATTATAATCATATAGTGGACAAAACATGGAGACATATGAGGTTCAAGAACTTGACAACTTCACAATTTACATACGAAGAAACTACACTCGAGTGACTCAAATACACTACACTCAGTTTGTAGTGTTAATACCATATATGGATATCTTAATAGGTTCGAATATTAAGCATTAAATCATTGACATTTTATAGTATGAACAATGCAATAACATCTGTTTGTGAGTTATTGCGAGGAACGGCATTTTAAATTAGACTAGATAGATATTTCTCTGACATGGAGTTTCTGTAAAACAGTATTAAAAACAACTGCTTTCTCAAAATCAAGAAAGGGGCCAGACAGCCACAGTTTTGAAGAAACGGGGGCTGATAAATGGCTGGCAATTTTTATGTAGCACATGCGCTCTGAATTAAAAAACCGGTTATAACAGGCTACAACTAGTTCTATTTATGCAAGCTTTATTGCCGGATGATTGGTAGATCAAGAAAACTGGAGGAAATTAATTAGCAGATGTTTCTTCTCTGATCTGAAACCTCTGTTTGCAGTGTGCTCAAAGTATTATTGTATAGCTGGTTGCATAATTTTGAAAACGGGTGTAAAGTCAGATTGATGAATAAAGGCCGTATTAAAAGTTTTTGCTAAATCATCCATTATTGATGTATTTGTGATAAATTTCAGCGTAATTAAGACGGTAGGATTTCGCACAGAGCAATTGTATACTTGATAAGGAATACTGATGGCTTAGAGACTTTTTAAAAAAAAACATTCTAAGTAAGTAAGTGGTAAGTGGAGTGTGCTAATCATCTTTACTTGCAGCTCAGAGCTAAGCTGAATTACAAGGGACACAGCTCAATAAGAATCGAGTCAAAGACTTTCTAAGGGCTCTAGAGCACCTATGGCAGCCACCTTGTGACTTGTGTCTGATCACGGAGCACAGCTACGATGGAAGGGTCAGTTAGAGGGCTAGCTAATCCCAACCCACCCTGTCAACATTCCCTGTGAGAGGAAACCGGAGAAATCCCACGACTTGCATGAGTCCGTAGCGTATCGAACCCACGATCTCAGAGGCGAAAGGCGCTTGCTCTAACGATTGTGATTCTGATCTATTTTTTAGGATTTTGGGCCGAAAACGGAACTGTTTTATTCTGAAGTAATTGGACGTGCATTCCAAAGGTATGAATGAGTTTATTATGAATGAGTTCATATATTTAAGTAGGCGAGGAGTTCTTAATTTGTTTTGCAAGAGGTTATGTTTCATCCGCATATAAAAGACTAAGTTACAAAAGACATTCTGATATATTTTTAAAATTTTTGCCAAATTTTCTTTCTCCCAATTGACCATTTGCATTATAGACTAAATTTTGATCTAGACAAAAATTTCATCATAGCTTGAAAGAGCATCACAAAATTAGTAATATTCCAAAGTTTCGTTGCGAAATGATGTAAAATGCGGATAATATAGCCTTGCGAAATTTGCAATTTTCAGTCATTTTGTATTACAAACGGGAAATTGATGCCCCAACACCCGATTAGGCTGTCAATTTCCCGTGCGTAATACAAAATGACTGAAAAACGGCAAACTTGGCATGGCTATAATATCCGCATTTTACAACATTTCGCAACGAAACTTTGGAATATTACTAATTTTGTGATACTCTTTCAAGCTGTGATGAAATTTTTGTCTAGATCAAAATTTAGTCTATAATGCAAATGGTCCATTGCCAGAGCAAGTGCCTATCACCTCTGAGGGCATATGGGTTTGATTTTCACAGACAGATTCATGTGAAAAGAGTCTGTCAACGCTCTGCCAAACGTCATGGGTTTTCTGCGGGCACTCGGGTTTATAATAATAATATTCAATATTGCAATATTGGTCAATATTGTTGACAAGTGTGAACAACGTGGGCAGCAAAGCATTGTTCAATCCTGTGAAACAGCAGGCTCATAATTTTTACGCGTGCATAAGTAAGTACACGGCAAAAAACGCCGAGCCCATCGCTTAACAGGATTGAACAATGTTTTGCTGCCCACGTTGTTCACAGTTGTCAACAATATATTGAACAATATTGTTGAGCCTGAATCGGGTGTAACAATATTGTTCAATATTGTTGACAACTATGAACAACGTGGGCAGCAAAGCATTGTTCAATCCTGTGAAACAGCAGGCTCATAATTTTTACGCGTGCATAAGTAAGTACACGGCAAAAAACGCCGAGCCCATCGCTTAACAGGATTGAACAATGTTTTGCTGCCCCCGTTGTTCACACTTTCATCAGTATAGCATCAACCTGAGCGTTTTTACGCATGTAAGATAATTAAGTAAGTCTGTAAGAGGAATGCTTGATGTTATCAGTCACTGAAAAGCCTCAATCAGGAGTGAACTGAATAATAAGTTCTAGATAAAACATGAGCAGCCGGTCTTTATTTGATATACAAACTCAAGCCGAAGGCGAGAGTTTGTATATCAGATAAAGATTGGTTGGGAAGAAGATATCCAAGCCAAGAAAATCAAAGCTGCATGAAGTTTAATATGTAAATGAGGACAAATCTTTATGCGATTTACAAACATTGATTAAACGTTAATTTCTTTTGTATTTTCCTCATGAATTATTAAGGTATGTAATGTCTTTGTTGACCCATACAGACGAGCAAAATTTGTAGTTTTCCAATTTTTTCTATGACTAGTGCACTTGTTGAAAAGCTAGTATGCTGGAAAAATTGGTAAAGTTGCCTGTACAAACGAGCAAATAAAACTTGTCATATGAAAACTTGTCATATGAAAACTTGTCATATGAAAACTTGTCATATGAAAACTTGTCATATGAAAACTTGTCATAGAAAACTTGTCTGTAACTGGCTTATATGTGTGTTAGCAAGATAATTTGAAAAATATCAAAATTTAATGTATTGATACAGTCAGTGCTCTCACAACCAAATTTTGGAATTCCTCAGCAAGAGCTCCGAAATTCACTCAGGATTTCCCAAAATTCCTTAAATAACATGTTTCTCCCAAATTATCCGTGGAACTACCTTTTTAGACACATTGGCTAGACACATGCATAAACAAAATTAAACACTGCCGTCGAGGCTGTTTTATAGACGGTTTCAAAAAAATAAAAAACGTTGCATTACCTCACGGACCTTCAAGCATACCCAGTTGCATACCCAGGGCCTGCGTTTTGGGGGGCTAAGCACTGTTAGGAGGGGGGGGGGGGTTACGTGCTCCTCCAAGAAAAATCTGAAATTAGAGTCCCTCAAGTGCGATTTCCTGCGTTTTGGTCTCGTCTTTCAATGAATACTTTGAGTCAAGCCAATATCTTTGTCTAAATGTTTGAAATCTCAAAATTCCTTAGAAAAATCCTTAAAATATTAATTCCTTAGATAATTCCTTAAAACTTTGCAAAATTCCTGATTCTAAGGAAAAATCCTTAGAAGTGAGAGCACTGTTGATACTAGAGCTGTGCGGTTAACCGAAAAAATTCGGGTAATCGTTCCATGTTTTGCGCACCAATATAGTAAACGTTATGTAATGGATATTATAGTGTATTGAAAAGTTCACTAGATACCTCCATACACAAAAATACACACCCTAACCCCAACCTTAAACCTAACCCTATAAATACCTAACCCCTAACCCCTAACCCTAACCTATATTGGTGTGCGAAACATGGAATGATAACCAAAATTGGGTTCTTTCAGTACTTTTTTAGCACCGAAAAATTATACGCAAAAGAACCGGTAGTTTTGGTTTTAATTTCTCGTTTAACGCCCGCCAAACGCCCACCTGATCAGTGCTTCCACTTTGAAAAACCAAAAAATCCTTTTTTCTCCTTATTTTGACCGAAATTTCCTTCAAAAAATTGTGAAATTTCCTTCAAATTTCCTTTATAAAATTACTGTACGTTGAATATTCTCCAAAATGAACCTCAAAATAGCCTTTTCTCAACATAACAATCATCTGGATGTATCATTACTCTAAAGTCTAACACAATTATATGACTTTATTTCCACACAGATAAGTGAGATAACCAGGGGGATAACGTCGGCGCGGCTGTAAAAGTGGGGGGGGGGCACACTTAGTGCCCGCCGAAGGGGGGTGATGGCAGGTGACATTCTGGGGGACCCGGGGGCATGCCCTCCGGGAAAATTTTAAACTAGGGTCTCTGAAATGCCATTTCCTGCACTTTAGAAGGAGATTTACAGAGTTCCAAAGGTAACAAAATGTCATAAAATTTCTCAAGTTGTTTTTTCTGCATGCGTAACTGAAATAATATCATTTAACTTTGTTTATTACTGACCATTGTTAAAAAGTGAAGGGCCCAAAGACACTTAAGCCCCCCCCCCCAACTAAAAAAGTTTCCAACATCCCTGGAGATAACTAAAAACTATAAACAGAATGACGTCATTCAGGGAGATAAAATTGAATAATGAAATATAAATTCTCAATTTCTATTCTCTTTTAGATTGTGGCCAGATTGAGGCTTATTTTAAATTTTATTTTCAAAATATATTAAATATTACCAATTTTGGCGAAATTTTGCTTTTTCCTTCAAATTTCCTTCGTTCTTCTAGAATTTCCTTCACATTTCCCTCAGAATTTATTTCCTTCAAATTTCCTTCATTTTGCAAAAATTTCCTTTCAAAAGGAAATTTCCTTCAAAGTGGAAGCGCTGCACCTGATTGCAGGTTGAAATATTTGAAAAATAACAAGATTGTGCACTTTGTGCACAATATGCACTGTACTAAGTGCTCAACTTAACTGGTAGCTGTTTCTCCTCAATTATTTGAAGACCTTGAGTAGAGGTCCTACCAAGGATTGAACCCAGGTATCCCAGCTTGAAAGGCAAGCGTGGTGACCACGACATATAACACTAAAAATCAGGTTTCAGGTATATTATTTAGTCACGATATCAGATCAGATGCTGTATAGGCTGTATTCTGTAGCGGCTGAGTAAATTGTATAATGTTCAGGTTAGATAAATTAATCTGACAATTTTGATCAATTTGTCAACCCAATACTACAAGGTTTCCAAAAAGCATTTGAGCAATCACGCATGCCAGCATTTTGATAAAAAATACTCTTAATGACTTAAAGGGATATGGCAATATAAATTAAGTTTGTCTTATTTGAAAGAACATTTAAAATGATATATAAACTTCCTTTACAATTATTCCGTATCTTGCTTGTTTTCGAAACAAATCGACTTATTTTGATCAAAAGCAGCGTGCATTCCGCCATCTTGGATATGCATTCAATATGCATACGTCACAAGTAGGGTAAAAAGCGAAATTTTTATCTTGCAAACCACATGACATTATCAATATGAAACTCGATTTTCCGAAGTCTTTTTAGTATTCAATTAACTCATAACATTTTAAGAAACTTTTCGAAGAAATTTAGTCCCACACGAAGAAGTTTTAACAAGACGCCTGCTCTGGCGTTCACACTGACCTGAAAATGACGACATACGTGCTATGGTGCAATAGACAAGAATACAAATCGTGAACCGCAAACGCAAAGCGTGAAAGGCTAAAAGCGTGGCGTGATCCTCAGGAGATGTTTTTGTAATGCCCAATGAAACACAAGTATTACTCACAAATACAAACGTTACTATAAATGCACATGGTCTAGCTCTGAGCATGCGATGCGCTAACGCAGACAACATTGTTTACATTCCGCCAGTCCGTATATTAAACGCATAAAATTCGAAAAACTCAGCGATCCAGATATTGCATTTCCAGAGATGTTGCACGAAAAAAAAACCCAACCAGTCAATTTCCAAGGAAGTGCAGGAGAAGGATAAATCCAAAATCCACAGAAAAACGCGCTAAAATTCGTTGAGAAATGAATAAATTGTTTGAGACTGAAATAGTCACTCATTGGGTGGCCGCCATCTTGAAAACTGATCTGTATAGTAAACTGGAACGACTGGAACACTGGAAACTGAGCCTGCGATGCGCTAACGCAAACTCGATTTCTCGACGACGAAAAAAAAACAGGGAAAAACAGATATTTAGGGATTTAAGACACTTGACCTTTCAGGTCAGTGTAACAAGTTTACCCTGCTTGTGATGTCATAAAAAACTCAGTTGATTAGGTATCATTGCGTACTGTTTTTGGTCAAAAAGTTTCGAAAACCAAGCAAGGTATGAAAAAGTTGTAAAGGATCTTCATATATAACTTTAAAAGTTCTTTCAAATAAGACAGAGTTAATTTTTATTGCCATATTCCTTTAATTAAAAACAAGTATTTTTCTATTACTGAATTAATAAAAAAGCGATCTCAGAGCGCAGGATATGCTGTTTCAGTGACCCAAATTTCAAAATAATTTCCTGGGGAGCATGGCAGTGGACTTCCCCAGTGGACGCCTAAAATATGGATTTCAATGTTTTCAAGGTGACTGGCCAACTCAATTTTAGCTCGGCCGTTATTTCGCGCCCTGCTGCATATGCGTTTTATATAATTGAGAGCCACATATACAGAACCGCAATAGATGTAACAATTTTACTGCTTGAATGTATTTTCTCAATTTTTACTAGACATATCGGTTGGTTCTAAAGAAGTCTTTTAATTTTGAGCTTTCAGTGCTGAAATTATAGTTTCGAAAACATCAAAACAGACATATTATACCAAGATATGATGGTAAGATAATCCTTGCATGGTAAGGTGACGATATATTAAATAATCTTTACAAATCTCTTGCAATAGATGATTCCCAGCTACAGACTAAATTTTGATCTAGGCAAGAAGAACAAAATCCATCACCACAGCTAGAAAGAGCATGTATCAAAATAAGTCTATAGCTGGCAATAATCTATGTACATGTCTTTACTACAATCTTTTTTTGATATTTTGATGACGAGGCCATAGACATAGTCAGGGACGCCGGAACGATCATAAGGCAAAGGGGGGCGGACGCACAGCAAGGGCACTTCTGTAAAGCAAAACTTGAAAATCTTCCGAAATAATTTTTTTTTATCAAAAAATTTGGGCGACCCCCCCCCGGTCGCCAAAAAAATTTCGGTCAGTGTACCATTTTAGGGGTCAAAAATTTTTTCCGGACATACCATAAGTGAAATATAAACTGTAAATTGTCTGAATCTCATCATTTTTGGACAAAAACCATTGTTCTAAATGTGATTTATCACGTATTTTTTTAAAACTAAAAGGGCACTTCTGCCCCCCCTGCCCCCCCTAGCAAAAGGCAGGGGGGGCAGCCGCCCCCCCTGCCCCCCCAGTTCCGGCGTCCCTGGACATAGTGTGCTGCTTAGCAGAGGTCGCTTTCTCACTACTATATACTTTATACTACAACGACAACTAACAGACGTACAATTCACTTTTCATTGATTTATTTCAGTATATGATGATATGGGAACCCCAATAAAGGGATCCCATTCGAACACTTAAAAATGCCACATATAGTTTGCTGGTGATCTACCATTCTATAATTAAATTTATCAAAGTCAAAGATATGATGATTGATAGTCTTGAAACTGAACAGAAGTCATTGTGAATATTTTTTATTATTATTTTATTTAGGTGTGCTATTTTCTGACGTTTTTAACGTTTGAAAGTTGGAAATTTTGTCAGAAAACGTTGAACTAGCGCCGTGATTTTGACAAGGTGTTGTCAAAATCACGGTATGGCGGATTTGTTATATTGTTTAATGTTTCAAACAGTTTTTTCCGAATTTTTTCAGGTTGTTGTTTGCCCAGAACGACGTCGGTTGAATCATATTTCATTTCGATTAACCGCCTCACCCTAGTATAAACGCAGACAGACAGACAGACAGACAGACAGACAGACAGACAGACAGACAGACAGACAGACAGGAGGATGTCTGACTATCGAGTTTGGATTACAGTTAGGTCGACATCTCAAAAATTTTCCGGACATACCAAAAAAATTTTCCGGAGATATCACATTTTTTCCGCAAAATGACAAAAATGTTTCGGACATACCAAAAAATTTTCCGGAGATATCATATTTCCCCCCGAAAATGACAATATTTTTCTGGACATCATAATTTTACCCGAAAATAACAGAATTTTTCAAGACATACCAAAATACAAAAATCAAAGGCTATTGGGCAAAAAATGCAATCTAAACTACATTTTTCACGTAGGTAAAGGGCACTTACCTGCCCCCCCGGTTCCTACGCCCTGACTACAATCTTTGACAATATAGATTGGGACAATCTAGTTTTCACATGCATTCGGTTATAATATACCATTTCCTGATACATATTTCCCACCCTCCCTCCCCCCAACCGTTTCAATGTTGGCGCCGCGTATCCAGACATCAGATTTTTGTTGGCCCAACATTGAACTGGGGGAACGGGGGGCGCTATTCCTTTCAAATTATATGAAATTACAGCAGCTGTCTCATAGTTTCTGGCAAAGATTGTAGTTCTAAACTGTATTAATTTTATACGAAAGTAAATACAAGACAATATTTACGTACATAATCATTTATTTCAAACAGTTTGTTTAGCCGTCGTCCTGACGACGCCGTTTTACATGCGTAAACTCGATCTATTTATATGGTAAACTCCATAACTTGGGTTAATTGCCAGTGTAATCGACATTGAATAAATTATTATAATTTATGGATTTTTTTTAGATTACCAAAAAGATTTTTCGAATCAGTTCTATCATTCCCTGTCTACTATGTATTGCTATTTCATTCGCCCAAAGTAAGTTTACTTTAGTTAAACCTGTTACTGTAGGTCAAATAAATGAGAAGCGAGAAGGAAGAGCCTCTGGTCACATCGGTTGCAAATCCCACTTCCACACTTGATTAGGTTCAGAATTTGAATAGCTTTTATAGCTATAATTAGCTTACAGTAATGTTTGTTTCCCAAACCGGTTTGACATATTTTTACAAATGGCCAATCACATGCGAGATTGAAATTCTGAACCTAATCAAGTGTGGAAGTGGGATTTGCAACCGATGTGACCAGAGGCTCTTCCTTCTCGCCTCTCGTTTATTTCGCCTCGCAAAGAGCCTCTGGAACCAGGGTACTGTAGGTCGAGGGTAGAGTATTTACTAAAGTAAGTTAAGTTTCGTTGGTTCTCTCCTGTGCTTTGAGGATTTCCCCAGGTACTTGGGTTTTCTCCCTCAACAAAAACTAACCCTTAGTCCTTAGTTGTCAAACACGGGTATCATGAGCCTCAGACTCGCGTGAATTGGGCAACGATACCCTGCCCCTGTGTATGATGTCGATGTTGATGATCATGATAATCATGTTGATGCATAACTATACTACAAAAAAAATTCAGGTCAACCACCACAAATCCTTGTGTGTCCAACGAAAAATATTACAATGGCATATAGTTTATTATACAATAGACATGCATGTTTCAAATGGATAAACCGACGATATATAACTGCTAGAAAATGTCCACCCACCATTAGCAAATATGAAGTACTTTAAATTCAAAGCCTGAATACCTGATGGAACAAAAGTTGAACAAAATGTACTTCTGATCTTGACTTTTAAATATTTCTTTGTGTAGAGATTGACAAATTCTCCTGCGACTTTGAAGATAACATTTGCCAATGGACTCAAGATAAAACTGATGATTACGATTGGAGCAGAAATCAAGCTTCTACAAGAAAAGGCACTGGTCCACTTACAGATCATACCAAGGGTTTGGATATAAAGTGTTATATTTTGTTGGTTCACATACACACTTTCATCACCGTCATATTCACCATCATTATCACTACCAACAGCGCTATCACCTCTTCACCAACATCATCACTACCAATAATTGTCAACATCACCACCACAAACACCATCATCACAGATATCACCACAATCATTACCATCAGAAAGTTCTACATCTGCTGACTTTTTATTTAAAGATTCTTGTTTTAAACATCTTTTACTTGAAATATATTATATTAATTAATAATTTTTAAAATGTAAATCCATTACATTGTTTTATCGAAGATGGATAATTAAAGTGGCAGCGTCATTAACATTTTTATTGTCTCAAACGAAAGAACTCCTAAAACTGTAAAGTAAGTTCTATTGAAAAAATTGGTTCCCATGGCTTGTTCTCGAGATATTTCATTTTGTTTGAAACCATGTGACGTCATTTACTCAATTACATATATAATGATATCAGTTAATGTTGCTATTTTTGACAGATTTGTTTTAAAAAACAGCATGCTTAAAGAGTGATGGTCAACCACAATGCAATGCGTGCGTTTGTTTACGTTTCTGTTACGTTGTGGGCCAGAGGCAGCCATTTTTGTGACCTCAAAATGGCGGCAACAATTGAGAAAAGTAACAGAAAACCGTAAACAAAAGCGCGCATTGCATTGTGGTTGACCATGACTCTTTAAGGTAAATTAACAAACGCGCCGCATCTTTGGAAAGATTTTGATAAATAATAGCAAAGATATACAACAATTACTGATATCTCATCCCCGAGCCAACGGCGCTTTCCGGGCGTAAGCCCGGGGCGAGGGTGCTAATTCCGTCCGGCTATCAATACCTGGGTATGTGAAAACATAGCGAAGTTCAAAGTTGTCCTCCATTTTTGTTTATGTCATGGATGGTTTTCGACGTTATGCGCATGCATGAGTGTAAGCTCTGGCTAAATAATTGTTTTTCATTTTGTGAAGGTAGTTTCCTCCGCAGGCCTCTCTATGGGCTTGCGGAGGAGGCTAAGACAAATTTAGGTATGAAAGATAAGTTTTGAGATAACATCGCTATCTTGATGTCCTCAATTTTTTATTCTAGGCCCACTAACAAACAAGAAGCAAGGTCCCGGCTCCATACGACATAGCTCCAGCAAGTGTATTCATGTTGTTGAAGGCGCTGATATAAGACCAAAAGAGGGATATTTCCTTGTGATATACACAGGATGTGGAGAAGACCGGATGGAGTTCCGGCTCTGGCCAAATGGAATGCTGATGCTTACTAAATATGGCATGTGCGTGAAGCCTACTGGCCCGGAGACTGATGGAGTGAAGGTTAGCCTGCGAACAGGCTCTCAAGCTGAATTGAGAGCCTGCATCGATGACTAATGAATTTGAATATCTGCGTCTCAAATCATGACGCGAAATTCTCATTGGTCAGATGCTATAATTTATATGTTTCCGCTGAGCTCTATATATGTCAACTGCTGAAGGACTATGCATAAAAAACACTGATTAACTGATCAAATTGGTCTTGGACGTCTTATCTCAAAGCACGAAATGTTCTGTTCTGAGAAAACAGTATTTAAAACATTTGAACTTTTGCTTGAATATCTTATATTTCGAAAAACAGTATAAACTGCACGGTCTAAATTTAGTTTGCACGGTCTAAATTTAGTTTGCACGAAAGTTGTAAACAACACCATATAAGGATAGACATTCCATATTTGGAAAAACGAACGTTACGGGGCAGATATTCAAATTCATTAGTCATCGATGCAGGCTCTCAATTCAGCTTGAGAGCCTGTTCGCAGGCTAAGTGAAGGTTGGTAAAAATTGTGAGATATATTTCTAGTTTTGAGATGTATTTCTTAATTGTTACAATGTGTTAACGCTGAACGAGAACAAACAGACATGATCAGTTATAAATATGACGTATTTAAACTCTTTATCCAGTGAAAATAAAGTCAGTAACCTACCTACGTACATATTTACCTAGTACATGTTTTCCTTTATTACATATTTACCTACATATTTATTTGTCTCTTTTTTTCAAGGTGGGTGTTTTCAACAGTTGTAATGCGACAGACACGTGGAGTTGGACTGCTAAAGGATCATTGCAGTACAAAAAGAAAATGTGTCTGAAGCCAGAAACTGGAGGGGAGCACCCAAGGAATCATGCAGATCTCGTGCTTGACTCAATTTGTGACGAGCGACAAAACTTCTTCGAGTTTGTGCCCAGTGAGTATCTCTCAGTGCTTTATATAACTGGATCACCTGAATTGTCAAAGGGAAAAGTAAAACGTGTTGGCGATCTGTATGCCAAAGGAAAGCGGTACTCAGTCACGTACTTTTAACTAACTTTATGTACTATTTAAGGCCCCGTTTACACTATACCGGATTGCATCGGAGCGTAGCGATTTTTATACCGGATTCGGCTGCTGTTTACACTACGCCACAGTAATCCGGTACGCGACGCGGAGCAAAAATCACTCCGCTTTGGAGGTGATATGAAAAGTAATCCGGTATGTGCCGGAGCAGTGTAAACAGGCTAATCCGGTACGCTTCGGTACAAAATCGGTTTTGGCGTGTATGTTTTAACATTGTCGCCTTTATTTGCTCGCTTTTACAATTTACTTTATAGCTGTTGTTTGTTTCGCCTTGCAACCATTTACTATTCCTGCCGAATACAAGTAAAGAAAACGATAATAACATTGACTTTTCGCTTTCGAAAGAGCAAAATTTAAAGAAATACTCTGAAATTTTGGATTAGAGCGAAACGAAGCAACGTCTGGTGGTCAAGCTTTTTAAATAAAGTTATACTTTACAAAGAAAACGGGTGTTACTTCTTGTTTTTAATAAATTTTGGTATATTGGCTACTTGTTTCCATGGCGACAGTGAAAGACATGAGCTGGCAACGGAGCGAAGCGGCATAGTGTAAACACCCTTGATTTTTTACTTCGGAGTAAAAATTAATCCGGTATGAAAAGTAATCCGGTATAATGTAAACTGGGCCTAAAATATGAGCAGCAGTTTTTTATCAGATATAAAGACATGATACGAAGCCGAGTATTTTTAGGTCTGGCAAAACACGATTTAAATTGCGTCAAAAACGATCGATCTTGTAAGTTCATAATTGGCGTAATAATTTTCAAAAAATACGTTGCGTAAGTCGAGAAGATCAAAGTTAATGATTTTTCTTATGATTTTTCTTTGTGTTTTTCTCATGAATTATTAATGCGTTTTATATATTGGAAAAATCTGTAGTGAATTATATTGGGAAACTTTATCAATTTTAAACTGTTCTTCCTCGAGTTCCAGTGAGTGTTATTACTCGCTGGGGCACCTGTGCCCGGGCGAGTATAGGTTTCGGCACGCATTTTTAGTGCATTTCCAATAGTGGATCTCCAATAGCTACAAAATAGAATATTAATGAGCTGCCTATAAATAAAACCGAATTTATCCATTTCAAAATGGCGGCCTTTCGTGGAGTGGGGAAAATGTTTCAAACAATTTCGTTAAAATTTTCAACGAATTGTACCTGTTTTCTATGGATTTTGCATTGTGTCTAACTCTGGACATTCTTGCTAGTTTAGTTAATGCATTTTTCTTGGTGCACGACTCTGAAAATCCGAAATTTGGATCGTTGAATTCCCGTGCACGATCATAATATACTGAATCTGAATATAAACGAGCCAAAGACAATTTCAAGGTGAAACCGTGAAAGGTTATAACTTAAACTGCACAACGTAGTTTTAATAGATAACTGCTTTATGAGAAGCATATTGGTGTCATATCAATATAAAATTCATCCAACAACAGTCCCTAATACTTATAGTTAGCTGTGAACGTAAACTGTAGTGTGAAATATGATATTGTATTTGTAATGCCTAATGTAATGGCGCAATAAGGATAAAAATACCACCGTTCGATTCAGCGTAAGAAGTTGTACTTACGGATGTCAAATGTATTACTAAACAACAGTATTCTAGCGATTTATGGCCTTTGAAAATCAAGCGAAATTGTATTGTTGACAAATCACTCGCAGTACGTTTGTACTTGTAGGCGTAATCTAATGGCGCAATAAGGATAAAAATACCACCGTTCGATTCAGCGTAAGAAATTGTACTCACGGATGTCAAATGTATTATCTATAAATATCTATAAATGATAAAAAATACATGCATGCAGCAAACCCTCGCCTTTCTTAACAGATGAAGTATAAAAACTCCACATAAAGTATTAAGACCATTATAAACAAACATAAAAACACAACTGATGCGCTAGCTTTATAATGAACGATAACATTCACTGCAATTTCATGCATACCAGCTTGCTGCTTGCATTATTAGTGAATTATCAAGAATGGCTTAAAAATTTCGCATATATGAATAAAACCGACAATACAAAGCAAGTACGGCATGGAATTTTACTACTGAAATGTTTACCCTTACCCAAACCGGCACAATTAACAACGATTAAATTGTCAAAGACATCAACATCAATACATCAAAACATTTATTATACAAACTAACAAACATTGTTTCACGGTTGAACAGCCACTAATTCATGAAACTGCAGGCTTATTTCCAGTTAAAATCGAGGGGAAAAAACCGTGTTGTACTTTTGTAAACTTTTTAACGAAATTTAAAACAAAAAATTGCTGTAAAACAGCAAAATACGTCCTTTCAAAATGAAAAACAATTACTTCGGTAGAATTTGTACTCGCGCATGCGCATAACGTAGAAAACCGTCCATGACATAAACAAAATGGAGGGCAACTTTGCACTCCGCTATGTTTTCACATACCCGGGTATGATTAGCCGTGCGGAATTAGTACCCTCGCACGGCGCTTCGCGCCGCCGGCTCGGGGATAACATGGTATTTACCCAAATAAACATGCAGAGCACTGTTATATGTTGATATAGTTCAAAACATATTGCACAAAACTGTAACTGAACTAACTGAAAAGTTTAATCTTCAAACTTTTTGCGCTCGTATTCGATTTTTCCGCTTAGCTTGCATGGGACAACCCAGAGGGGACAACTTTAAATCTTAATTGAAATAGCTGTGTACTGTATATACTGATGTATCATATACGGTAATGTGCGTATTTGTATAGCCCCAGCGAGATAACATTCTTTAGAGCGTCTTGTTTCTTATTGATCCAGTGTTACTACGAGCGGTCCCTTAACCGACATCACTTTTCTCATTTCAGGCGATACAGCATCTGGTTGGTATTTATTCATCAATCGATGGCAACCGAACAAGAAAGCTCGATTGATCTCACCATCAACAACAAAAGCCAAATCCTGTCTCCTCTTTTTTTACCACATGTTCGGCTATAACACGAAAGAACTTCGGGTATTTATTTTTATTTATTTATTTATTTCTATTTATTTATTTCTATTTATTTATGAACTCTCCCAAACAGTCCACGTGCCAGTGTCGTGGCATCAGGTGATCAAGGTCAACATACCTTATCAGAGTGAAACCTTTGGTGGTGAAGATTTTAAAGTGAACAAACCTATACCCTATACTATATTTTCTCGATCGTTGTGGTATCGAGTACTGTCCAACCTAACTCCCGGCATCCATTGGGTAAATTACGTCAATATATAACTTTATGCAAAACACTATGCAGTATAATTTGAATAATCTTAAATTTGACACAGCTAAGGGTTAACCAGTTCTTTTATAAAATCTGATTGCTATTTTTTGTTCGGACAAATGTCCGGACAATCTGGCATTGCCGCATTGGATCGTAAAAACTGTAATTTCAGGTTCTCCTATATCGTGAATTGAAATTAAACACATTCATACACTGATAAATATATTTATTATTTATTTAAAAAATTCCTGGTTTCTGATTGGCTAACAGCCAAGTGTGAAATTGTCATATCAACTCAATGGCTAACCAAATATGGATTTTTCACATTCATATTAGCAAAATGACGTCAAAGAGTCAATATGAAAAAAATTTGGACGCGTTTGCGCCATATTACTATGACGACGGGAATCATATTGACTCGCTGACGCCATTGATATGGCGACGACGACAGCTGCCGAAGGACTAAGGAATTGTTTTTTTCTTAATACAAATATAATACAAATGGCTTCCGTTTGTTTTGAATTTTTTAAATAAATAATAAAACAATTATCGAATTCAGTTTTCGCACAATATGAAGAATTATCAAGCCCTCAGTTTGCCGTTATCAACCTCAGCCTCCGGCTTCGGTTGATAACGGCAAACTTCGGACTTGATAATTCTTCATATCGTGCTCAACCTCATTCAATAATTGTTAAATGTATAATTTCAGGTCTACGTGAAATCTGGGGGTAAGATGTATTCTGTGTGGAGTCTTTCTGGAGAGCAAGGTGTCGAATGGCATCAAGCACAAGTGGCCGTGAACAATCAAACGACGTCATATCAGGTGAGCATGTAGATCAGGTTGTTCCATGGTTTTCAAATCAAGGCGCAGATACGCTTATATTTCGCACTGACTTAGGCCCCCTTTACACGAGCCCGGGTTGATTTTCAACCCGGGTCAGCACGCCACAGGTGGTTATTTTTTTATTCTGTTTACATGAACCCGGGTTGACGACAATTTTTGCCAACCCGGGTCAGCAATTCTCAACCCGGGCTGACTCGAATAATATTCCGAGCAACAGACTGGAGCAGAGTGTATTTTGTATCCCTTATAGAGCTCATACGATCATATTCCTTTTAGTTTTGGCTCTTATATCTTTCAGTTTACGATTATATCCCTTTTTATCAGGGATTTAACCGTATAGCAACGTTTTCTTTCTTTCCGGATAGCTCCTCAAATATTCGGCATCGAACGCCAACGCCATACCTTCGCGCAACTTTGAATACATTGCGACAACATCGGAGTTGAAATCTATATTTTTTATAATCCATCTCAGCTCCGTCTTATAAGACTTATAATCCTTCGGAGATGTCTGTACTAAACATAGACGGAGAAAATGCGCACGCAAAATGTTGAAATGCGATATGACGCTAGGTGCAAAGTTCACAATCATGAATTTACCGCACTTTACATGATCCCGGGTCAAGCCAACCCGGCTTTACATGAAGAAATGAGTAAACTTTTCACGCGTTCACACCTCGCCAACCCGGGTCGACCCGGGTCTCGAGAAGGGTGCCCCGGGTTGGCGAGGTGTGAAAGGTTGACCCGGCTATCGTGTAAACGCTAATAGAGATTTATTCGTAGACGGGTTGACCCGGGCTGGCAAGCCAACCCGGGTTGATAGTCAACCCGGGCTCGTGTAAAGGGGGCCATAGTTACAGTCAGCTATTTTAGCAACTCTTAAAAAAGGGCATTTATAGCCATTTTAACACCATACTTTTTCCATTATCTATATCCATCAAAACATAAAAACATGGTCACATTACCAATTTTAAGCGCAGTTATAGCGGCAGATATGTGTCAAGCGGGGAGTCCCTGACGTCACAGAGAACAGATGTTCGTTTACTGGATACAACCTATATAGTCGACTATAGACTGAGTTCCTTTTTGCATTGACTATCAATGTGACGGGTGCCGGAGGTGCCTTGACAGAATTGGCATGGCAAACTCCTATTGCTACTATGTCTATAATTAGCCTTATTATTACGTTTTTTGTTGTTTTTGCCACAGCTGTTTGCCATTGCCATTTGCCAGTTTTGCCATAAATGCATGTTTGCCAGTTTTTGCCTGATGTTTGCCAATGTGCCATTGCGGTCTTGCCTACGTGGCTAGATCGCTGACTAGCTTCGATCGGTATCACCAACTCAGGTACGTTGCCGTTAATTTCAACAAACTAGATTTTAGACGACATAAATAGGACGAAATTGTGTCTGTTGTAAGTATCAACACTCTATTTTAAGGAGTGTTACTACTACTATGGCTTATACCATGGCTACATGGCTTTACATAAATAATGAGCCGTGTTCGTTTTATCTTGCCGTGTTTTTTTTTCATTTTTAAGCGTGATAACACGGCAAAAACGGCCCAACACGGCCTTCTAGCTAAAACCCTGTAGGAGCAGGGTATGGAATTAGAAATTCCTGCTTGTTCAAGTGCTAAATATTTCTGAAGTTCATCTACCAGTTAACGGAAACGACCGCACTTTTCTATACTTTTCTTGCAGTTTGTAATCGAAGCTGTACGTGGTGGTTACTATGGAGACATTGCAATTGATGATATTTCTCTAATGGTTTCATGTCCTCCAAGAGGTGAATCACTTGCGTACTAATAGCTATGTCGGCCGAAGTACCATCAATCTTTGACAAAATAGAGTAGGAAAGCTGGGTTTCTTCGTAGTTCATCATTTGGTGCTACGTATGGTTTATAACGTATTTTTACGATTTTAGGAAATCAAACTAGGAAACCTACGGTAGATAATAAAGGTAAGTAAAAAGGTGACAACAACATTTACAGTTTCCACAACACCTGCAATTTTACCATCTCAAACTATCTCTGAAGACAAGTGATGTACTCTAGAACTTTTTCATATATATATATATATATATATATATATATATATATATATATATATATATATATATATATATATAGTTTTTCGTTTTACCTCAAAAAACCACAACAGTCTGTTTCATCCGTATAGGAATCATCAGGTGGTGAATTCACCACCTGATGATTCCTATACGGATGAAACAGACTGTTGTGGTTTTTTGAGGTAAAACGAAAAACTATATTACGCTCTACCTATATGGTATTGAGCACTGTTTGTGTTTCGTAAACAAAAATCTTAAGCTATATATTATATATATATAACTTAGCTTAAGTTTTTGGTTTACGAAACACAAACAGTGCTCAATACCATATAGATAGGCCTAATATAGTTACATTTTCGCGGACAAAACTAGAAACATTTACGAAACATCACTGAACACATACAACAAACTCTTACATGACAACATCACGAAAACGTACAAACATGGATCAGAGGATTTTATAGATAAAATTGACTCTGAATTGAAAGAAATTTCGAGTAGGTTAGGAATTGGCGACAGAATTGAACGAATGTAAAAACGCGAAGCATTTAATCTTTAAAAGATCACGAAGAAAATTTCGAGAACAATCCAAAATGCCGATTAATTATAATCCTGCAAAAAGCGAATCCGGAAAACTAAGTAAGGTTATTTTAGATAAAATCAATTCCAATTTGAGACAAAAACTAAATTCAAATCAATGGAGGAATACGCAACAAGTAATTTAATGGTTTGGCAATATAAACGATAAAGACAGGCACAGTTTTATTTCGTTTGACCTTGTGGATTTTTACCCATCCATTTTCGAAAAACGTTTAAACGAAGCATTGGCCTGGGCTTCTGATTTGGCCACTATCTCCGAAAGCGATGATATTTCAATAATAAAACATGCAAGAAAATATCTACTTTTCGGCAACGGCAAATTATGGACAAAAAAAGACGGAAGCAACAGTTTCTTTGACGTCACTATGCATGGGTAGTTCCGACGGCGCTGAAATTTGTGAGCTGGTAGGCCTTTTCATTTTAAATCACTTAGGTAAGAGGTTTGGCAAGGAAAACAGCGGCCTCTATAGAGATTACGGTTTGGCTATTATAAAAAGCAAATCCGCCCGTTTACTAGACAAAACTAGAAAAGAGTTACACAAAATTTTCGAGCAATTTGACCTGAAAATCACCGCCGAAGTAAATTTGAACGTTGTAATTTTTTTAGATGTTACTTTCAACCTGAACAACGCAAAACACAAACCATACAGGAAACACAATGACGATCCATTGTACATCAACAGACATTCAAACCACCCACCAAGCATTACAAGACAATTACCTACGGCTATCAACAAGCGCATTGTACTATACGAACAAACATTTAAGGAATCTACGCCTATTTACCAGAACGCCCTTAGACATTGTAACTTTGATCACGAATTTACGTACGCTCAGGATGCATCGCAATGGACGCGTAGGAATAGGCAACGTAACATAATTTGGTTCAACCCACCATTTAGTAAGAGTGTTAACACGAACGTAGGACGGAATTTTTAAGTTTAATTCCCAAACACTTTCCACTACAACACAAATTACACAAGATTTTCAACAGAAACACTTTAAAAGTAAGCTATAGTTGCATGAACAACGTTAAGCCTATAATCACCAAACACAACGCACATATAATTAGGAACAGCCAATCACAGAATACGGAAACTGACAACTGTATAACTGCGACAACAAAAACACTTGCCCACTACCGAAACAATGTATGACCAACAACACTCACAAAGCCACAGTCACAACGAACAACACGAACGACACTAAACACTACATTGGTATGACAGCGACTACATTTAAGGAACGGTACGCTAACCACACTTCATCTTTTCGTCATAAAAAAGACTCAAACAAAACGGAACTTTCGAAACATATTTGGAAATTAAAAGAAAACAATCAGGATTATACCATCAAATGGTCAATTTTAAAACACGCTATTTCGTACACAGGGGGATCAAAACGCTGCAATTTATATTTGGAAGAAAAATTTTGTATTTTGAAAGACATAAACAAAGACAATTTACTCAATAAAAGAAGCGAAATTTTCGGCAAATGTCGTCACAAAAACCGGTTTCGAGTAAACATAAATTTATTCGCATAATCAATTTGGATTCAATTGTATACCCTATGCAAATAAGTGTTAAATATTATTTTATTCAGACAAGGGAACAACGGATGATTCCAACAGAATCATTATCATAGCGACAACAGTGGGTGCTGGTGTATTTCTTAGCATTGTGCTTATCGTCTTACTGATGAAATACAAACGACGGAATCGGGCTTCAAAATTATCAACTCCTGTATTCAATATTCCATTGGAGACGAATGAAATTTCACCAGAACCATTGCCAGTTGATGAGGTAAATTATGGCATGAGCTCACTGAACCGGCTTTAGAACTGATAGAGCTATCGAGTATAAGTAAATAGTTTGTATACTTGAACTTCGAGGGTTTTTCTGCCTCCAGTTTTTCTCCTTCATAAAAAAACAACTCGTAGAAATTATTTGTCAAGCACGTGCCCTCAGACTCGGGTGAATGGACTTATTCCCTAATAAACAAAATTTTGATCTAGACAAGTCTAGACAAAAGTTTCATAACAGCTTGAAAGAGCATCACAAAATTAAAAATATTCCGACGTTTCGTTGCGAAATGTTGTAAAATGCGGATAATTATAGCCCTGCGAAGTTTGCCGTTTTTCAGTCATTTTGTATTACGCGCGGGAAATTGATACCGCTTTCTGAAAAAAGGTATCAATTTCCGGTGCGTAATACAAAATGACTGAAAAACAGCGAACTTCGCAGGGCTATATATTATCCGCATTTTACAACATTTTGCAACGAAACTTCGGAATATTACTAATTTTGTGCTACTCTTTCAAACTGTGATGAAATTTTTGTCTAGACTTGTCTAGATCAAAATTTTGTTTATTAGGTAATTGGTCAATTAGGCAACCACACTCGTGTAATCGTCATTAAATAAATCATAATCCTTCTTATAAAAAAAACAGGATCCATGTTACGAAACTATCGGAAAGTTTTACGATGACTTCGGCACAAGTGGAAGCGAGTCTGAAGACCCATCAGCTGACGGTCAGTAGATATTATATTTGGGCCCGCAGCAATTGGCGTTATGCTGTTGTGGGGACCCTGCCAGAATTTGTAATTTATGTAACGGCAAAGTTATTAAATTTTTAAAAAATATCCAATCTGTGGTAAGGGGCGGACCATTAGAAAAGTGATGGGGGGGGGGGACTTTTCTTGCATGCACGATATTTTTTTCGACTGCTTTGGCGTTGCAGGAATTTTTTTTTGGCACCAAATTATTTGCACGAATTTTTTTTTTCCATGAAACTAGAAGTTTTCTTAACAAAGCACAAGTAACGTATGAAAAAGACTAACTATTTTCTGTTCTTTCAATAAATAATGTGATTAAATTCCTTGAACAATTACTTTTGAAAAGTTGTAGAAAACTATTATATATTTTAATACAGCCATGGAGTCAAAAGACGAAGATCTCTCATTTTCCTCAGACCTAGCCCCACCCATTCACCCAAAGCCAAACCCCAATACCAGACTTTTTATTAAAAACACATATTTTATACAAAATACGTTTTCAACTTCAAGTTACGATTTCAGTAGTAACTCTGTGCGAGTCAGTTTAATACCTGTGTCTGACTCTGATTAAAAGACATACATGATTACATGAAGCCGTCCAATTCTTATATACCATTCCAAATGATGCAAAGCCAAAGGCACCGCAATTGAATTTGCGGCTACATGGCCCACCATTCTATAATCTTCTATAGACGTCTATAGAAGATATTAAACGAATTTTTTTTAAAGTTAATTTGCCTTGCACGAATTTCCATCACTTTTCTAATGGTCCGCCCCTAATATGTTTAAAATCCCACTAACCTTTCAAATTTCAATTTTCCTGCATGCCGATTGGTCAAAACCGTATCACGTGTCGGTCATGTTCACTGCGAGGGGGCAACCGGTCAACAATATGAACAATTATTGACCGGTTTAAAGCAAAGTCCTTTCAAGAGTTTCAGCATGTCTACCAGTCAGTTTTATTACAGTTTCGAAATACCAGGTGAATTATTGAGACTTTGACACTTGCTATGTGAGTAAAACACTTATAAGTTATAATAATTTTGTTTGTGGAAACACCACGTAAATTTATTACTGCAAATTTAAAACACTACGTAAATTTATTACATTTATTTTTTACGTGGTGTTTCCACACACAAAAAGTATTTTTTGTTTTATCGTCATGCAAACCTACAAGGAACTTAGTAAAACAGATATTTACCGAGACCTCAGGAAAACAACGTGTTTTATGGTTCCGAGACCGCGGTTGTTGCCCGAGGCGAAGTAAATAAATGATATTAATTACCTCCCAACATTGTTCTACAGTGAAAACAGTTATCAACATTGGTTTCTTTTCAACCAAGATATATTACATTTCTTGTTAGAATGAGCGAATATTACACATACAATGAACTGTTTTCCTTTCCAACAAAGCTGTCACTTGCTATATAATAGGGAGTTTTAGCATTTGATCGCGTGTGAGGAAATCACTGTAGTCGTTCTTGTTTCCGTTCAAATGTTGCTTTTACAGCAGTAAACAAACAACGAGAGAAAAAGTTTCATAAACTGAATCTCCTGTAGGCTAAAATCCCCTACAAAATGTGCAAATAAGTCATAACATTAAAAACAAGCCAGATATTTAGTATTTGTGCCGGATAAACGCTATATAAACGCTACAAATTATTTTTTTGAAAACAAAAAAAGCAAAGTTTCTTTGTTTTTTTATAAGTCGTCGTGAGGACTACGAAATTTCTCCAAAATTTCGTACTCAGATGGGCGACGGCTACGACTTTTTCGCGTCAGTACCATAGAGATTATAAATATTATAATCTCTATGGTCAGTACGGGATGGCGTAAGCATACAGCATGCGTTTCGCTTGACGAATCTCGTACTCGTAGTCGCTGCTAAAGCTCCCTAATAGTAATAATGAGGATTGCAACTGTCCCCGGCTATGACCACCAATTTTCAACTTTGAGCCGGTTCAAATTTTGATGAGAGTTTTTGCTATATTCCTGCGCTAATATTCAGTCAAATCTCGTCAACTGTCAGTACCAGCTCTTCTTCTCGTTTCATTGGGGCACGATAGATGAGAGAAATCTCGTGCAAACTCCCGCTTCTCAACTATCTTTCTCGTTTGACCATCGCTTTATAATCCATCTTTTGTTTAAAGGCGGGACATCACTTTACGATCGGGTTGGAGTACCATCAAATGCAGACAAAACGTCTGAGTACGAAACACCTGTCGAAAATGAACATCAGCGGCCAGGTAACGAAATTGACGCTTGAAATTGTTGTTCTCACTGCAGACTCTCACTGGCCAACTCTTATCAACTCTCATTCTGTTTGACCAGGGTTTATAATCTTTTGTTTCTAAAGGCAGGACATCGGATCACGACGAGGTTGAAGTACCATCAAATGCACACCAGGCTTCTGGACACACTGAACTCAATAAACGACCCGATACCTTGAAAAGGGGGGCGACAGGCGATGGTGATCATCAGGCATTTTTAAAGAAGGTTGACATCATTGAGATATACGTAATACAGGTTCCAGAGGAAGCACAACACGAAACAGGTCAAAATGAAACCTATGAAGAGCCCAAATTATCGCCAGAAAATCCTGTTTATACGGAGCTTGATGTGAAAGGCAGAAATACAACGGAAAATGGTACCTATCAGAATCTAGTAAAGCAAGACTTAGATTATGTTACACCAGCTCCCGAGAGAAGAGAGTCGTACGTATAAGACATCTAAATGGGAGGAAACTTACCAGACTACACGGAGCTGGATCAAAGCAAGAAAAAAATGTAGGACATAGTAATAATTTATTGCCAATATGATTTTATTTAGTTGAATCTAAATGAAGAAAGTACTTTTTTGTTGTTTAATACTTCGATAGAGGTTTTGTGTTGGAATATTTTTCCACACAGATCTCAAGTGTTGAATAGTTATAAATAAATTTGTGCAGCTATAAAAATGTTACTGTGTAGTAGCGAGTTTACTAAATTTTAGTAGAAATTTAAAATTTTAATGAATTTGTAATGCTTAAATACATGAACTTCCCCTTGATTTGTCATTTCAGTTTATTTCTAAGCCCCCCCCCCCCCCCCCCCCCCCCCACATGGGAGTTTATAAAGCGCCTGCTTCTGCACAGCAGTATATCTCATTTTGCATAAAAAATGGCGGCCTTGAAAACGGAAGCATGACGTTGCACACAGCTATTAGTGAGTTTAAGCAAGTGACGTTTTTGACAACACGAACGGCATGAGTAACGTCAGAAGACTGGGTCAAGGGCTGTGATTGGTTAAAAACGTCAACTTTACTTCCGGTCGACGTCCGTGTTGTCAAAAACGTCACTTGCTTAAGCTCACTATTAACTATAATCTGATTGGCTGATCACATTTAAATGTCCCGCGTGAAGCGTGGGCGTCGTGGCAATACGCCACTGACACAGAATAAGGCACACAGAAGGGCACCCTGACCGCCATCTTCCTAGCCAGTCGATTTAGTTTTCTGGCCAATAAACGCGCTGTATTGGCTGAAGGCCCCGCCTTCTGGCCAGTCAACTGCATGTTTTTGCATAGAAAAATGGTGACACGTTGCACCGCTGAGTGGCCCTTCTGGTACTAATCTTTATTCTGTGCCACTGATCAGCATTGATACAACTTGAAAGAATTCTATCACGTAATTTATACGACATTTAATACATCACCACGAGCCAACTGAGAACCACTGGGGTGGTTTTTTTTCGGGGTTGTTGACACTCTAAACTTCTAACGCACTTTGATATTTGTCCGGCACCAGTTCAAGCGAATTTTGTGAGATCCACTTTGCAAACACCACGAACACAAAATCAAACAGCAACTGAGCCAGCAACTTTGGGCAACTCGCTTTTAAAACTAGCAACTTTTAGAAAAAGAGAGACTTTTTCGAGCAACTTTTTATGATTTTTTCGAAATTTTGAGCAACTTGTGGACAGGCCTGGTGTGGTGTTGGTGATTTTTACCGTTTCTAGTTATCGGTGGGAAAGGATAAACATTGTCCGAAAAGAAATTTATTAACCCTGGCCTGTTTTCCCGGCTTAAATTTGCCCGTGAATAACTAATGAGTTCAAACCAAGATTGCTGGCACAAGTCTCATCATCTAGTATTTAAAAGGTTCTAAAACTCGTTAGAAGATTATGGGAAGCTATATCTTTCAAAAGTTACATAGGAAAAGACATTTGTTTGCTAATGTAGCTAATTTAAAAACGTCGCGATCCGATTTGCACATATTTTGACAGACTGTAAAATCTCATCTCGTAAATATTCTGCCATCTCTGGTTTAAAATTGGCTGGTTGAATTCAAAAGATAACTCATCCAGCCCTATAGTTTTCTAGATCAGTGATGCTTGTATTTGAGTCTGAGAAAAAATTAAAAGCAGTCCTCTTTTAAGGGTAAGCTTTTCCAATACAACTCGTTTAACAAAACTCTAAGGCACTTTCCAAATTTGCTTGAGCCTCAGTGAATGAAAAAAGCTGTAAATACCTTTCAGCAGGGGCGTAGGAAGCGGGGGGGGGGCACGGGGGGCACGTGCCCCCCCCCCAATTTTTTTAAAGGACTAAAAGTGCCCTTTTTTGTGATAAAAAGTGCCCTTTTTGTGTTGAAAAGTGCCCTTTTTGGTGAGGAAAAGTGCCCCTTTTGTAGAAGCTAATGTC